ATTTGAAACCTGGAGCTTATGCAGGGACACTTGGCTCAGTCTGGGAGGAAGGGACTGGACCTGCCTGGACTGAGTCTACCAGGTTGATCGTAGTCCTCAGGGGAGGATTTGCCCTGGAGGAGGTGGGAATGGGGGGTAGGCTGGGGGTAAGGGGAGGGTATGGGAGGGGGGAGAATAGGGGAACCCGTGGCTGATATGTAGAACTGAATGGTATTGTAAAATAAAATAAAATAAAAAAACATTTAAAAAAATACTACATGTTCTGTCCTGCTTTCTCCTGTCTAGACGTCACGGGCTTCCAAAAAGGTTCATAATTTTGGAAAAAGATCCAATTCAATTAAAAGGAATCCGAATGCACCTGTGGTCAGGCGCGGCTGGCTGTATAAGCAGGTACCTTCTCTCTGTCCTCATATAGTTAAAGTGCTGCTGTCTGGGAAGTTAGTGACTAAGGTTTTTTAGAAATGAGGGCTTCATTTTTACTGTATTGAAGTGTTTCCTGTGGGTTTCAGACGGTGGCTACCAGTAACCAAGACGACCCCCAGCATCCAGTTGACTACCTGCCTTTCCTCTCTCTTATCCCAGATAGTCAAACCCTTACCTGATCTGGTCATTGGCACATCTCTTAGATGTTTACATGTCTCATTAGAGTCCCCCAAACCTGTGGTTACACCTTGTTTACTAAATTTTTGTTAAAAGTGTGATCTCATTTGAAGCTGTAGTTTTATAAGTAGATCACTTAGTATTAGCTAAAGGGACTCAGTCTTTTACAGGATGAGTAAAACCTAACTGTAGATGGAAGAGTATTTACTCACTAAATTTGTGTATTAAGGTTTTTCACTCACGGTCATTTTAATCATCATACCTTTCAAATAATTTAGGTGCACATATTTTGCTTCTTGTTGAGAATTAACATATTTATTGAATCTGGTACCAGAGTAAGACTGTACACCATCGCATGCTTCCCTTATTCTCACCCTCACAAGCACACATGTTGAGAAGAGTGAATTTCGGATGGCTTCAGCCTACTCTTTTTTTATATGACAGCATCACTCTTCAGAGAACAGTGTACTTGCCACCACCTTAATTAACATAATGCAAGTCCCTGGAAATTTTCTTTTAAATTTTCTTTAGTCAGCATATAAAAATTTTATTTATGAAGAGCCATGTGACATTTTCATGCATATAAGCATTGTGATCAAATCAGGGGCAGCATGTCTGCATCCTCAAATGTCCATCATTTCTCTGTGGTAGAAACATTTGGTCTTTCTGGCCTTTTGAAACATGCTAGAGTCACCTGGCTGTGCAAGTAGCAGATTAGAACTTTTTGATAGGCCTTTTAATTAGGCTATGTTACATGCATATCAAAATGTATATGATAAGTATCTTAAATCTGTTATTTAATGCAGGACAGTACCGGCATGAAGCTGTGGAAGAAACGCTGGTTTGTGCTTTCTGACCTTTGCCTTTTTTATTACAGAGGTGAGTTCATCAGCTGCTCAAGGATCTTACTTCATAACTGCACTGTATGCTAAGCACTAGCTATGTCCTAAGAGAAAAGACATTAGTACTCTTGCTGTTTACAGATAATGTCAAGAAAACCTTTCTTCACTGACCCAAGGTTCAGACTCCCTAGAGTATGGCAGAAGGCAGCAGGGCTCTCAGTGGAGGAAGCAGGGTCTCACAGTGTGACCCTGGCTGGTCTGGAATGCACAGTGTAAACCAAGCTGGCCTTGAATTCACAGAGATCCACCTGCTTCTGCCTCTTGAGTACTGATATTAAAGGTGTACACCACCACACCTGGCTGAAGGCTGGTGTGATTTTTGGTTTGCTTCCTGTGTTTTGATTTGTTTTTTGTGAAGAGCTTGAGAATCCTTACTCTGTCACTCTGTCTTTGAATGCAGTACCTAGCAGATAAAGTCTTTGGTTGGATACTTGTTTTTGGAGCTGTACCTGAGTTCACCTGGAACCAGTGAACCTGCTTCATCCTCCCAGTTTCTGGGATTATAGACATGACCATCACTGCCAGCTAAGGATTTTATGTTGGTTTTGTGAGATCTGGCTGTGGGTTTATAGACTTCCCATAGCTGTGATTTTTTTTTTTTAATTCAAGTGAGCATAATTTCAGGAATTATTATAATGGATTGGAAAATGAAAAAACATGAATTATTGATATAAATGTGTGTGTACATTTATACATACATCTATTTGGGTTGCTTATTTTTGTTTTTTACTATTAGCACTGAAGAAATGTAGAGATGTTTGGGTAGATATACCCCTTCGTTCTTCTAGATGAAAGATTCCTTCTGGTTTTTCTCATGAAGTTTTTCTCATTATTAAAACAAGCTCTCATAGTGTTGTTGCCTAGGCTAGCCTCAAACTCTTGAGTTCAAGCAACTCATCCACCTCAGCCTCCTGAATAGCTGAGGTGTGGGCAAGCTCATGCCACCATGTTGAGCTAATTAATAAAAATCTTAAGGTGAAAGTCCAGCAGATTCCCTATTAAGACATCACACTTCAAATTTGGTACCTGTGAGCGAAAGAAGGTTGTACCAAGATAAAGCTCTATCTCAAGGAATATACTCCAATTATAAATTGTGAATTTGGACAATCTCTCCTTTAAAACCTGACTGGAAATTATCACTTAAAAATTAGATTTGTTAGCCAGGCGATGGTGGCGCACGCCTTTAATCCCAGCACTGCACTCGGGAGGCAGAGCCAGGAGGATCTCTGTGAGTTTGAGGCCAGCCTAGTCCACACAGTGAGTTCCAGAACAGGCTCCAAAGCTACACAGAGAAACCCTGTCTCAAACAAACAAACAAACAAACAAACAAACAAACAAAATTAGATTTGTTGGGGCCAAAGAGATGGCTTAGTGGTTAACAGCACTGACTGCTCTTCCAGAGGATGTGGGTTCAATTCCTAGGACCCACATAGTGGTTAAAACAGTGTATAACTACAGTTCTAACTTCTACAGGGAAAATTGGGGGGGGGCAGGGATTAGATTGCCAGCTTATTACTAATTAGGTTGTCATTAATAATTTATGACTTTTCTTTGCACATATGAATTACACAACATGAGCTGAGTATATTGATTGGAGAAGGACTGTAATCACCCACTGTCACTGTGCTGGGACCTTGGACTTGGACCTTTTATGCTTGTCGGTATTTGCTGTATGGAATTTGGAGTCCCAATGTTTTATGCATGTGTATTTTTGTTGTATTTTTTTAAGATGCACTTACTTTTATTTGATGTGTATGAGGGTTTGCTTGCATGTATGACTGTACACCACATGTGGGCCTGGTGCCCAGGGAAACCAGAGAAGGTATCAGATCTCCTGGAACTAGAGTTACGAACAGTTGTCAACTGCCATGTCTGTGTTGGGGATCAAACCTGGGTCCTCTCCAAGCATAGCAAATGCTTCTTGCCACTGAACCTTCTCTACGGCCCTGTTGTATCGTCTTGTTTATAGGTTGTCTTTCTTTTTCTCTTCTGATTTGATTTGATTTTAATCTACTTTTTCAGTTATCAGAACTATACTGTCTTATTAACCTCTGTTTGTTTCATAGATAGACTTCCATCCTTTGATTTTCTGTCTGAGTTAAGTGAGTTTCTTAGAGACAACAGATAGTCTATCTTATTCAATCCAGTCACTTGTTCTTTCTCCAGTATTAGTACTAGGGGATTTGGTGGTTGACTGTTAGATATGATGGAGTCCTTCCTAGCTTTTATTTGTTCATCTGTTACTCTCAAGTAATTCATT